GTTGAAAATTAAATCGTGTAAAGAGAGCCAAAAGATAGAGGTTTCTGACAGCAAACTTGACACTAATGTCCTTCACTCCACAAACACAGTTACTCATCCCCGTTAAAATACATTTCTGGACAGAGCTGAATAAATACATGCTTATGCCCTGGTGTGACTCAGTCATACAATGAGGTGTGATGTAAAATTTTAGACACAGTATTTTGTTCTGCCTAATGATCCATATGGGGAAATAGTCAAAGTTTTTAGCAGTTCAAAGTGGCTTTTAATGTCGTAAAGTGTCAAATTCGACCAATTAAAACAGAGAGATTCGTTCAAGCACTAGAAGAGCTGGTTAGTTATAAGGAAGGAACGGATTTTGGTGATATTTTGTTTGCAAGGAATGTGGAGATATTAATGCTGGCTTATTTCCACTGAACGTGTCCATATAGACATTGTTGACCATAGTACAAGTAAATAGTTTACATTAAAGCGCACTCGACATTGTATGGATATTCAGTTAGCGTATGTATGTGAATATCGATATCTGTATTTCGGGGGCCCCGAATGGCCGGGTGGTCTAAAGCGCTGTCCGTTACGGATCACTGCCATCTCACCTCTGTCTGCGTGTGTTCGAGTCTAGTATTCGGCTAATGTAGATATGTGAGAAAGCTTGCCAGTAGCTTCACGTGGGTCGGTGGTACTTTCCGGTGATTTCCCGGTTTCTTCCTCCACCATTAATACTGGCCGCCATGAATAGCCTATCGTGAAAAATGGCGTTAAGCCCAACAACAACAACAACAACAAGATATCTGTATTTCACTCTAACAATGGCACATATTTATAGCAAAATTAAATTAATAAAGTATCTGAAATGATTGTTTGAATACTCCAAACGGCAGTATATACATCTTAAATATTTCATAGGTTTCAAAACGTTGGTATAAATTACTGTTGGTATATCAGAAAATGATTAGCTCAAAACTATTAAAACGACGTATAAGGATTGTTTTGACAGTGGTCTATTTCGAGTATATTGATTAATCTTTAGGACGTATGAAGACAAAGAGAAATATATATATATATATATATATATATATATATATATATATATAGATATATATATAGATATAGATCAATATATATATATCTATCTATCTATATATATATATATATATATATATATATATATATATATATATATATATATATATATATATATATATATATATATATATATATATATATATATATATATATAATGCTTTTTAAGCGATAAAATGGTTTTCAAAATCATAATGTCCGCAGGTCGTTAACTCTGCCCTCCACTCCTCTCTCCCTACCCCGTCTTTATCCCTCACTGTTTCACTTGGATATGTAGGATCAGCTAGAAACATAGGGATTGACAACAATTTCCCAATGGTAATTTTTACAAACCACCCAACCACAGTCTGTCTGTCTGTCTGTCTGTCTGTCTGTCTGTCTGTCTGTCTGTCTGTCTGTCTGTCTCTCTCTCTCTCTCTCTCTCTCTCTCTCTCTCTCTCTCTCTCTCTCTCTCTCTCTCTCTCTCTCTCTCTCTCTCTCTCTCTCTCTCTCTCTCTCTCTCTCTCTCTCTCTCTCTCTCTCTCTCTCTCTATTGGTCTATGAGCATATCATTTCTAGCAACCCCCTCTCTATATAGCTGGAGGAGCGTGGCAAGATACAGGCGAAAATCTATGAAATGACCAGAGTAGAGGATTTTCGACTGTATCATACCATGATATATTGATTTATTCAATGCGAATAAAGATAGAAACTCAACATAGAAAGCAATCAACTTCTCAATTTGCAAAGGTGATTGTCAACAGCCATAAAAAGCAGATAACTACATTTTTACACACACATTCGAAAGGGATGTGATGAGCTCATTGTCTCGGTCAATAAGCATATGCCAATAGTCAGTCTTTAACTCCAATCAAAGAGCAAATAAATGTATTTTGTATGTGATATAAATAAAATATTTGTACATTACATACCCTGTATCAATGATATGCCATTTACTGTATCAATTTTCCATTATAAAGGAAACTCGTATCATTGATAAAACGTAAATTATATATATATATATATATATATATATATATATATATATATATATATATATATATATATATATATATATATATATATATAAATTATATATATTATTATATTATATTATAACAACAATTATAATATATATATATATATATATATATATATATATATATATATATATATATATATATATATATATATATATACATATATATATACATATATATATATATATATATATATATATATATATATATATATATATATAAATGTTGTTGTTATTTAGGTCCAGTTAAGACATTTATACGACATTGGAATTTGATTACAAAATATGAAAATGGGGGTATTTTTCGCATTTTATATTCGACCAATCAAAAATGTAACTTTTGAGCACATGAGGAAGAATTATAAAAAATTTGAATGTTCTCATACAAATCGCTATTTAGTACTCTGCATCATAAGGGAGCATTGCTCATCTATTCCTTCAGCATAGGTACTTATGATCAAATTCTAATAAAACCGGCCTGATATAAAATTAATCTTAATTAGTGCTGGTATAAGCTGATGAGTATGATGCCAATTCATAGCATTCAGTTACAGAAGCGTTTATGTTATGAAGAGATTATCCCGTAACATTTTATCAAATGATTTGTGCCGTTAGTTTCAAAGCATTATTATAAAATGATGATTTAAGTTCTCTTCATCAGACACAATTTATAGACTCTGAGAGAGAGAGAGAGAGAGAGAGAGAGAGAGAGAGAGAGAGAGAGAGAGAGAGAGAGAGAGAGAGAGAGAGAGAGAGAGAGAGAGAGAGAGACTCTTTATGGATGTGTCACTTTTGGAGATTACGATAACGGCTTATATTGGTTGTGTGCAGATACGTACATAAAACTGTAAAAAATGGTCACACTATCATCACGAAGTCAACCAGAATACTGTTTTATTGAAATTAACGAATATTTTATATAAAAATTACAATATGGGTATATAAATACATGTAAGTAAAATCATTCATTTTATAAATACCACATTATATATATATATATATATATATATATATATATATATATATATATATATATATATATATATATATATAAATATATATATATATATATATATATATTTATATATATATATATATAAATATATATATATATATATATATATATATATATATATATATATATATATATATATATATATATATATATATATATATATATATATATATATATATATATATATAATTGCCATATTCCTTCAAGCTTACCAACTTCATATAGTTCAGCTACAGTTATTTATATCATTTAGAATATAATGCAGTCTATTAAATAAATATAAATTAACGATTGACAAAATGCCAAAAATTCAAATTCTCAGCCTAATAGCAGAATCAATTTGTAAAACTTTTTACTGAATATTTGATCTAAGATACCAACATAATATGCCCTGTAACTTTAAGAATATTTTGTAACTAAAATTAATTGTTGCTGAGCGAAATAGTCTTTCCAAAAATCAATTCTGTGATTATAAATGCATTTAAATTCTTAATAAATTTAAAACAATCCATTGCACACTGTGTAAAATTTGATGTCAATCAATGAAAGAAAACTTTTCAAAGCTTTGAAAGAGATTTTAATTCCTTTGTCTCCAAATAAAATGTATCACGATTTAATCTTTAAACTATAAGAAATGCTAAGTCAAAGGAAAAACTATTTCCGTACGGCATCTGCGTTGCTTAGTTATGATTCTGGAATGCAGACAATCATAACTTGCTTCTAGAAAAAGGTCATTACCTAGAGTAATGAACTTAAACGCATTCTTCAGCGTTCAGACCAATTACAAGGTCCTTATGCCGGAGTATTACGAAAATTAACGAATCGTAATATATCCTCCTTTCCCAAATATGGGAAATTTTAGCTTCCGTTAACGTCTTAGTTAGAGCCTTTTAGATACCTATTTTCCGATTTACAGACGTCATCACAGAAACAATTGCTGTATAAGTACTTTCGTGCTGGACTGCTAACGTAGCAGAGGAGAATTTGCTCATAAAGCAGCTCTTTCCGTCTGTACTTGTACTATGTCTCTGAATATTTAATTCCCTAAAACAGAACATAAGAAGACAAAATATAATAAACTTGTACAATGCAATTATAAAAGTAATATTTGCCTTGAATACAAATTTCGAAAAATTCTATCCAAGCATTTATTTCCTCTGGCAGTGTTGTTGACAATATACCTAAACATTAACTATATTTTGTTTCAGGGAAATAATAATAATTTGTAGAGTAAAAAAAAAACAATAATTCCATAATATGTCATTGATTTATTCGTGGTTACTTTTTATAAAATGTGTCATACTTTTAATACACCAATGTCAATTGAAACCATCTCATATATTGCTGGTTGCAATTGCTTCTATTTTCATGCATTTATTATTAGTTACCAGCGATTTTAAGAGAGACAATCATGAAATGTGTTTGTATATGTGTGTGTGAGAGAGATTTGGATTTTTATGACTTAACTTTAACAATTCTTCAGTCATATTGCAATGATGTCTGCATTATTTTTCAGTTTATTGTGATGTCTAACACTGCGACATCATACCGCAGACATGTAGCACCATGTCACATAAAGTCACATTATCCGCATTCACAATGTAGAGATCGGGTGACCAGGCCTAACACTAACGTCGTAATGCTGGGCGCCAACCAAGGCAGCTGCTAGTACTATTGTTATAGGTCTTTGCTATGACTAGACGGTGTTCAAACCCGCGATTTCCCTCATCCCATGTGGACGCTCTAACCCCTTTGGCAACCAAAGCGATCCTAATAATGAAATATATGATCTCAGTTTTGAAAATTATTCATAGTCATTGGTAGATAGTTTGTCCACATGCTACACTCCTTTACTACCCATGTGCAGAAATTCTGATAAAACTAAACGCTCAGGTTGCCTAGTGGTTGGAGCGTCCGCCTCAGATGCGGGAAATCGTGGGTTCGAACCCTGGCTGTGTCATATAAAACGACTTATACAACTGATGCTGGCAGCTGCCTCGCTTGGCGCTCAGCATTAAGAGGCTAAAGTTTAGGACTGGTCTTCTTGGTGTCATAATGATGTGACTGGGTGATACATCATTATACGTGTCCACGGCATGATGTCCCAGTGCTTGACATCACTATAAACTACCACACTGCATACATCGCAGCGATATGACTGAAAAATTGTTTAAGCTACGTTAAAAATCAAAATCACACTCACACGCACGCACACACGCACGGTGTTGAAACTTATTTCAAGAGGTACAAAAATGAAACAAATTTAGGATGCATCATTGATCAATAAAATTTGTTACAAAAGCAAAACTATCACTAGCCTGAGTTATATTGATTTCGAAACTAAAGAACAAGAAATTAAACTTTTGTACCCTGATATGTAAAATTTTACCTTTCATTTCGCACTTTACTGATGATAGAAAAAAATATTCGGCTGGTACCTATGTAACGGCTTAGAAAATAGACATATTATTTGGCATTCATCTTTAATGTGCCAGTGCAATGTATGTATGCATTTCATGTATGTATGTATGTATGTATGTATGTATGTATGTATGTATGTATGTATGTATGTATGTATGTATGTATGTATGTATGTATGTATGTATGTATGTATGTATGTATGTATGTATGTATGTATGTATGTATGTATGTATGTATGTATCCATGCATGCATGCATGCATGCATGCATGCATGCATGCATGCATGCATGCATGTATGTATGTATGTATGTATGTATGTATGTATGTATGTATGTATGTATGTATGTATGTATGTATGTATGTATGTATGTATGTATGTATCCATGCATGCATGCATGCATGCATGCATGCATGCATGCATGCATGTATGTATGTATGTATGTATGTATGTATGTATGTATGTATGTATGTATGTATGTATGTATGTATGTATGTATGTATAAGTACGTTGAACATTAAATATAAGATATAATATTCGGCCTACACGTATTAGCAGTCCATCTAACAAGTTTTCTAGTTTTCAATACATTAGGAAAGTTTCAGCTAAAGAAAACCATATTGTTGCATGACATTTTTGAATATAACTGCAATGAGCATTCTTTTGCAAATTTGTTCAATAAGTGTGATTGACCTTTAGTAACATTATGCCAGCATAAATTTACTTTGCTAGCAATATTTGGATACGAGAAAAAAAGTATCCATACAATATTTGTGGACACCGGGCAATACGAATTGAGAAGAAAATTTATTAATATAATTCATATTGTTTTGAAAATATAACACATATTTTTTGTATTTACTGGCTCTAAAAAGATTTAAGTGAAACGCATCCTGTTCAACACCCAGCATGGACGGAGACGGATCGATTTGGAGTCTTCCTCCTAGAAGCCTCATTGCTAACATGGCTATCTGCACGCGCACATCTTCAACTTCATGCGGAACATGTATTTTTACCGGAATTAATAAACAACTGATATGAACCGTACCCTTGACATCATTAAAATTAAATTACTCCTATCTTTCCCCGTGGATGTTTGATCGTCGAGTACAAAAACGTTGAATTATCGATAAGTTGGACTTTAAATAGACTAAAATGGAAAATATACGACAGATGATCTTACCATAGTGAAGATAGCTGTTGTATTGGGGGATTTCAAATCGACATCTGGGAATGTCTCGTCTACATTGTGACTCTGTGTGTATTCCCATGAAAGGCCACTTGTATCATGTATAGTTTGGAGTATTTATTGGTGACTTAATAGTTTAGTATGCGAATAGTTGCAATTTTTATAGAAATTATATTGTTTCTACAAATAATGGAGAAAAATATATTAAATGGAAAACTGGATCAAAAATAAATAGTTAATGAGGATTATAAAAAAAATCTTGACTTTTAGTTAGAGAGAATGTATTAAAGGAGATAAGAATGACGAATTTGAAACATTTAGACAGCTTTCATATTTTGCTTAGCTAGGTTTCATTTGATAGCTTAATATGCATTCTCCCAGTTCACATTTCAGATTCCATTTTCCATTAATGAGGTTTCATGGAAATGACAATGTATACGCTTACCTATGAGATTAATATTTATGTCAAACTATGCGTACGATTTCTGAATCCAAATTATTGCATAGCAATACGTGCACAATATAAACATAGCTTTAGAAGTAGAAACGCTGTATTTCGAAGGATATTTATTAGCAAATGTTAATTATTGTGCCGAGTTGGAGGGAGCTGTTATATGCTGTAGACTAAACTCTGAAGCTTGCCTAAATCGTCTATTTTAAAACTCGTTCAAGTCAATAGCGAGCTCAAGGTCAGATTAAGACTGAATCTTATCGTGTGTAAGGCAGTACATAATTCAATAATGTTTATTGGACTGAAAATAAAAGAAGCACTTTTGTTACACGTTTGAAAAATGTGTTATCTGTTTCTACGTCACTCACCTAAGATAACCTCTTATTACGTCATCCAAGCAGCTGGGACTATTGTACTACATCGCGCCAATACGTGCTCAAAATGGTAAGTAGATACAATTATTTTCGAGTTACGCCACTATTACTTCCAACTAAATATGTATAATTTTTACAATATTTTTTTAAATCGTCACTTTATTAACTTTTTAACAATCACTTAGCAAACCACTTATTTCTTGATTCTCAATATATCAAACGTAACCTCTATCTTATTAGCCACGAGACAACAGATCTCATTCAATGCTATCTGGGAAGCATCAAAGCACTTTTGAAAATCACTAAAATTTATGAATTTTAAATATGTTTATTCGCTTATTGTTATGTAATTTATCTAATGGTAATTGTCGTTTTTAATGTATAATATATATATATATATATATATATATATATATATATATATATATATATATATATATATATATATATATATGCATGCATACATACACATATACATACATGCATGCAGACAGACATACATACAAGCATGCATGCATACATACATACATACATGCATACAAGCATACATACATACATACATACATACATACATGCATACATACATGCATACATACATGCATACATACATACATACATACATACATACATACATACATACATACATACATACATACATACATACAGACATGCATACATACATACATACATACATACATACATACATACATACATACATACATACATACATACATACATACATACATACATACATACATACATACATACTAATGGAAAGTATACTCTGATACATCGGTTGCCTTATGTTGAAGTTGGGAAATGAGCGGATGGATTTTGGAATTCAGTATACCGTTTAAACTTGAAAAGCCCTCAACGACCAGTAATCCTTTAGCGGAAACATATAATAGCCCTTTCTAATTCCATATATTTAATTAACAACAAACATTTCTTTTTTTACAAAACATGAAAATCAATTTTCAAGAAGATAAAAGAATTCTTAAGTACTCTTTTTGACTTTTGCATTTATGCATTTGAAATTTGGCGAACTTAACCCCAAACCTGTCTATAGTGTAAACTCTTCAAATAGAAGTTCAGCACGTACGTTTATAAGGGGAAATTATTCTGGGTGTTTGAAATTTTTAGGCAAGAAAATTCGCCCGTATGAGAACGTATAACATAACATTATCGTTAAAAACCGTTCTATCTGCAGATTGCTACATGATATAAAGTTCATAACATTCAAGTCTAAGATGATACTTTTTGCGCCATCTTGAACATAAAATAATATTATTTCCTTTCAGAAATTTGCGATCGTGATTGTGTTTCTTATCAGCACTGTCAGGTGAGTTCATCATTATGGTAAGTGAAATTATTTTTATGTGGCGTCATCTTTGGGCAGTTCAACACCAATTCTCGTTTTTTTTTCATACTTGAATTTAATGTAAAGCGTACGTTTCTCTCAAGGTGGTACATTAAAGATTACCATTAATGTAAGCTGGTCGTCTTTCAAATACCAAGAAAAAAAGTTCAATTAGATCATCGTTACAATATGCATAATATGCTTGTTGGTGCTGGTACCACTATTAATACTACCACTACTGCTATTACTACTGTGTCCAAAACATAATGACGTATGTCAGATACTACTACTACTACTACTACTACTACTACTACTACTACTACTACTACTACTAATAATAATAATAATATTTTGGCAAGAATGTATCATTTTGCAAGCAAGCCACATTAATAAAGAAATATAAGACACAATAATAAAGCCAGCATGATGTTCAATTTACTCTCTAAAACATCGAACGTTGCGAAGTTGTTTAGGAATTTCCAAGTGCAAAACTTAAATCCTAGACCTAGATTCAAGTAAAAATGTGCATATCCATTGATATTAATCTGAACATTTATTCTATCTCCATAAATAGATATTAACTATGTATTATGTTGTCTACAAAATCAATGTCACTGGTTAGGTAGATCAATAATTTGAATATATAAGAACATTACATGTTAGTCTTATTGGAGGATTGAGGTGTAATCCACAATCTTGTGCATTTATTTTGTAGCAGCAATTGTTTAGATTATCATTCAAATATAAACCCAACATGCACGTATCCCACTCACAGAATCATTGTCAATTCAGTCTCGATCCTAATCCAATTACATCTTCGCTCACCGACTTAACGGAAACCTGACAGGTACGTATACAATATACACGGACATAACGGAAACCTGACAGGCATATATACAATTTCATGTTCTGGTGACCTTTTGGGATTCCGTGTCCGCTTTTATTTAGAAGCATATGACCGCGTTGCTTTCAGCTTTATTGAGAGTTAATCTAGGCAACGATTTGTTGTAAAAACGTCGTTTTCTATTGTCAGTAGTTTGCATGACGTAATGTGACTGGCGAAGATAAAGGTCAACAGAACACAACCTTTCTTCTTGTGCCTGCAAAATCTACTTACTTATATCTACATTCTAAGGATTGTACACATTTTCATTTATATTTAATTTG